CAAAAAACTCTAAAGCAAAGTCACTTACAAAGAATACTAATACCTCTCAACCTAAGCAAAAACTCTAAAGCAAAGTCACAAAGCACACACTCTAAAGCAACTTAAAACAACTTACAAACTTAAATCAAAAACTTAAGTACCCTAAAGCAAAAGCAACCTACAAATAGGTAAAAGCTTTAAAGTATTATGAAGCAAAAGGAAAATGAATATATATATATATATATGTATAAAATGATCGCTCACCCCAAGGCATCCTGAGAGAGTGGAGGGAGAAAAAATAGCCCTTTGGTTACCTCCACAGTGTTGAAGGAACTTCTCCCCAATTTTTGCTTGGGTCCAATCCCTTTTTTTATTTTATTTTTCTTTAGGCAGTTTGAGTGGCTATAGTCAACAAATTAATTTTGGGGTGATAGTTGACAGAGGCCCAAAGATCCCGGCATGATGGTTGTGAGAAAAGGCAGTGTGATCTCCATATCACTCCTTTCTTTATTTAATCCTTTTACCAGTTTCTGGGAATGTCTCCCGAGGTGTGGGGGTTTTTCCAGGAAACCATCAGGAGCCTTTTTCTACTTCTATGTGGCCTTATCTATCACCTTACACCTTATTTGGAAGATTCCCCTGCCTCCCCAGTGCTCTGAGTCCGTATTCAGTGCCTTTGGAGTCTGATGCAGTGAGGAAGTCCATGCATTTGGGCTGAAGTTCTCATCTTCTCAGTATATGACTCTGGTTCAAACAGTTTATGTGGCAACATGGATGCTACCAGAAAGTCAGCAGACAAAGTCTGCTTTTCTTTGTAAGAAGGGAGGTAGGTGTGAAACCAAGTTCATTTTGGTCCTGTAAAAAGACCTCCCAGAATCAAATTCTATCTTCTTTAAAGTATTGTTCCACTGGTTACTGACATACTTTATCCTTTGTTTTGCATATACTGTTTATCACTGGAAATCCCACAGTGAATGACATTGCTAATATCCCGTGGATGGAGAAAATCTCACCTACACCTGATGAATACCATGCCCCTGTAGATGAGGGATAGCTAGTTTTCATTCTGTCCGAACTCCTTGGATTCCCATGAGGTTAAGTCTGTAAAACCGTCTGTGATGTTTAGTTAATTAATGGTGATCAAAGCAATTGAGCTTGCTTTGAGATTCTTAGGTTATATTTTGTGATAAAATTTTGCAGTTTTCTCTGCCCCAACTCTGAAACATAAATTACAGCTTGAACCAAAAAGCAGTCTGTGACATTACAAAGGTACAAATTCCTCTCTTCCTCTGTGAAGAGAATAAAAATGGGCGGCAGTTATAATTTTTTTTGCATACAAAGTGTCTGTTTTTGCTGACACAGATTATTCTTCTCAGTGGGACTAGATAAATAAATTTTAAAAATATAATTTTCTTCCTAGGAAGATATTCAGTTGCAAAATACAGTAAATTAATTCACTTACATGGAGATATCTCATAAGTTGTTGTGAAAGCTAGACCCATAACTTGAAATGATGGGCAGAGCCACTAGAGGGTGTGTTGAAGACTGGTCTGTACCTGAACTTGACTCATAGGTTAAGAGGCGTTTTAACTTTCAAATTACTGTTTAAAGTACTAAGCAGAAGCTCTTTTGCTCAAGTGCTGATAAATCTCACTTATGACAATTTCATTTCAGAAGGTTTCTGTCTTGGAATTCAAAATAACAAGGGCCAAATCCTCTAAAAATCCAAGAAGCCACAGTGCAGAAGCATCTCCGTGATCAGAGCAGCTGGAAAACACCAACTTTCAGGGTCCCATATGGACCTTGAGGAAAGTTGAAGACAATGGCCCTGGGCCCAGGCTACAGCACACTTGTACTCGACATAGTCCAACCATGGGTAAATAAAGCTGCATTAAAATTCAGAATTGTTTTAATTTACACAGGTTTGTCAATAACCACTAGAGACAAAGAAAACCCAACGAGTGGAATCGTTGATGTCACACCCTTTTCATGGAAAGCATAAGTGATAGAAAAGCAAGAGGGTCATGTATTAGTTACACCTCCTGAAAGCCCCACAGCTCTGGACACTCTTCTGAGCCAGAGATACTGCTGTGTAATTTGTTCTACGTCTGTTGTTAAAGTGGGTTTACTTAAATTTTTAATTTATCCACATTTATCTCTTTTAAAGCCTGTGCTAAACCTTGCCTGCTTACAGAACTGCTCTGCCAGTAAGGTGGCTTTACTGAGTATGGATAGTGTTTCACTAAATGAAATTTGTGAGATTCTAATAAGGAGAGTTTCAGCAGCTTGAGAATATAAATGTTTCAGGATGATCGTGATAATAAGGTGTGACATAAGACACACTCTGATACACTGGGAGATAGTGAGGAAAATGTTTATGATTCCAGAAAGCGTTATTGAAGAGGGATCTAGTTCCCATATATCCTCTTCTTGTCTATGTGAGCAGAATTATGTCAGGATGGATTAAAGCCCAGACTGAACTCCTACCAGCATGAGTTGGCTATGGATACTTTTCCTCAGAGCAAGGGCAAATATATTCAGGAGATGGCATCTCACAGAGAGGCAGGCTGCCATTTGGACCAATATCCTGGGAAATGGGCCAAGGACCACAGCTTGGTCAGAAGAGAGCTGTGGGTTACCAGCAAACCAGACCTCTGACAGCACCACAGCCTTTGTATACCCTGGAGATCCTGGATGGCTACTTAACTCTGCAGATTTTCTGGAGCAAATAACCTTTTTGGGATTGTTGCCTAATCCACAGAGCTAAAGCAACATGGAAAAAAAAAAAGAGTAGGCAGAGAGGAGAAGTGATTTTCAGAGCCCTGCATGGGATACCTTTAGGGATATAATTTGGATGCCGGGTATAGGTTAGGTTTTGGCAGCTAAGATTTTCAAATAAACAAATTAAAACTACAGCAAAGTGGGCTGGGAGCCTTTTTCTTCCTTAAACCTTACAATTGCTTTATTTATTTAGCCTTCTCTCTCCTTTCCACCTAGCATTGTGTCAGGTTCAAGAGGACCTGAAAATAAGACACCGGAAAACACTAGTGGCAGATCCAATGTATGTGCAATTAGCCCTTGGCTACATTACCTCCAAATTGAAATATATAAACAACATGTAGATGTTACATGAATGTTCTGATCATAGATACCCTCAGGTGCAGTAGCGTAAAACAAAGTTGGAAACCACCATATGGTCACAGACACAGCACCATTTAAAAAAATCCCTGCATTTTGAAGTATATTACCATGCAGTAGGAAAAAAGGCTTAAAGCAACCTTTAGAATATCAACCTGAAGAGCAAATTATAAACATTTTACATGCCTTGAATAAAAAATGTTGTTCCTCTAAGCCATTTTTCCCACACTAATTTCACATTCATCTCATTGTGTAACATTAGTAAGAGAAATATTTCACCAAAATCACTTGAATTCTAAAAGTCTACTGATAAACTATTCAATTTGGCTAAAAAAGTAATTATTCTCATTACTTTTTTCTTTGAAATATACTATTTGCTTAGAATGGCTCTTACATTGTTAGCAGAAACACAAAGAAATAATGGGCCATTTAGTGGGCTAATGTATTTTTCATTTGTTTTTTATCAACTTCCTTTAAAAAAATAAAAATATCACTGCTGAGGGTGAAATCCTATAATAAGGTTAATGAGTAAAGAAATAACACAGAACTGCGTTTATCATACTTAGCAGGTCTAAATCACAAAACAGGAGAAACAGATGCTTTGGAATGCAGCCGAGGAGTTGATCGGTAGAAGCTGATTATCTATTAATGAGAGGTTTTTAGCGGTGTACCCTGGTGTAAAAATCACTAGACTCCATTCAGGCAGTCATCAGTTGCAAATGCCATGTATATGAATTACTTGATTGATGTACAAAATTCAAAACAGATTTCCCCTGGTGCCCTATGGGTTGTCACGCACTGATGCTCTCCTATCTGTTTATGTTAATGAAACAGGGTTTTCCAGTAAGTAAATATGTGTAGTATTTAATTAAACTCACTGCTGGGCTCTGTGTGAAAATGTAGCCACATTGTTTAGAAGTACTGTCAGATTGTAGTTCTTTGTTTTCACCTCAGTTTTCCTTCCCAGTTGTCTCAGTTCCCTGTCTAAAGAGGAGCTAGGTTTGTCCCATGCCAAGACGTTGTGAGCACCAGGAAGTTGTGCTGCAGAAAGACTGCCAACCCAGACCCTATTCCCAAAGATCTTGCACCTTTACTCTTAAGTGGAAGGTGCCTTTGACTTCAGTAATGGCAGGAACAAACCCTCAGGTTCCCATCACCAGCCCAACAATTAGCAGGATTGTAAAGAGGGACCTTCTGGAGACTGAACTGCACTGGCATTGAGCAAACCGCTCTGCTTTTGATCCCCTTTGAAGTCTACATGAGGGCTGGGCAAATGGTTTTTTATACAGTTTGTTGCCGTATTAGGAGGTAAAGACTTTATGAAGTATTTGAAGACTGAATGGTTAAAACAGTTTTATGAAAATATATATTATGGTTAGAGTAGAAGTAAAAGCTCCTGGCTCCTACTTCAAGGCCCTACATGTGGGCAGGACAATGCAGAAAGAAGCATAAAAAGAATAAAAATCAGGCTTAAGGTAGAAGCCTGTAAAAATATTTCCCTCAGCTCAAACAAAGATCTTATACCTTTTGTTAAAGAGGAATCAAATTTATTATTAATATTATTATTATTATTATTTTATCTCAATGCATTTTCTACCTTTTTTTTTTTTTTGTCACTGTCATGATTATTCTCCTGAAAAGAAATAGAGCAGCTGCTCATATGCTCTGCAGCACTCACAGTAAGTCCTGGTATGATTTGTGGCTCTATTTATTGAAGAGCCAGTTAATAGTTTACATTTATTAGTGGCTGCTTGCCCTTTACTGTGGCATGTGTTTGCAATTTAATGCTGCCATGTGTCAATAGTATTTGCATTTTTGGTATTTTATTAGGCATCAGCAGTGCTCATGCATTTTACTTAGGCCATCCTATAACTTTCCCTGACTGTACATAGGAAAGGGTCAGTGTAACAGTTCCCTTCTTCACATTTCCAAGAGTCCAAAAGCTGCAAAAGCCACACCCATTCAAGATCTCTCCTCATCTTCCTATCTGGTAAGATATCAAGGATCTTTTCTGGACTAATAGTGTTAGGAATACTTTGCTGAATATGATCTTTTCTCTTGTGGCATCATTAATCAACTGAGAAAGCAATTTAAAGGAATGCTGGACTCTGCTTTGGCTGTTTTGTCAGGTTTTTTTCCTGAGGTTCGATGCAGAGGGGGGCTCAGAATCCAATTAACTGAAGTTATTGTTATATTCATGAAGAGCTGCTCTTTCTACCATAGTCTCACTAACACACAAATATTTCAGAAATCCTACGTGCTCATGGCTTTTTTTTTTTTAAACAACAAAAAACATTTTCAGTCTCATTCCAGACCAATGATACACAGCACATGACCGAGGGAAGCAGAAATGCCACCTCCAGCCATGGCTGTGCCTACATTCTGTCAATATGTATGAGAATGATGGCTTTGTTCCTACAGACAGTAGACCTTTCCCCTAAATGAATAAACATGCTACCAACAGGTCCTTTTCTCCTGCTGCAAAAGTTCTGCTTTGGCAGAAACAGAGAAAGATATTTCCAAAGGATATATATTCCCTTTCTGAAAGTACAGTAAAAGCACCAAGTTCAATTCACTTGTTGAGTTACTGCTTTCCATCTGATTTGTGGGAACTTTGAAAGCTGCTTGGAGATGGATGAGCATAGCTGGTGAAAAACTGTGGAATATTACTTGCAAAGTAGTCTTCAAATTAAATTCCCCAAATTGCCTTTTGCTGTGTTTTTTTAATCACCTAGTGGTCTTGTTTACAAAACTTCATGCAAATGACATATCAAAACATGGTTATTTATGAAGAAAACAAATCATCTAGACCTACCCGTTCTTTCATATAAAATTGAATATTTTTTACATACTGAATGCATTCTCTGTTGCCAAGCCCTGAGCTGTCATGAGACTGGCTTAACACTGTGGTGATATTTTGTTTGAAAGATCATACAGACAGTGTTCTTTAATGTTCATTTAACTGGTTTCAGAGCTCTCTAGTATTCACATTTCTAAGCTTTACATGCACCTGTGTGCATTGCATGTGTATCAGAAAGACTCTCATAGCTCTCTGGCTCCTGAGAGTTAAAACTCTAGCAATGTCAAAAATAGTGGGTTCTTAATGAGGAAATCATTACATTTGGCAATTTCTGAAAACTCATGAGGTCTGTAGTAAAACCTCCACTGACTTTTTTATGCAGCCCAGATTTTGCCCCATGTGAAATCAAATATTTAATCAAATTCTGCATTACTGTAAAAAAATATGGCAAAATTAGGACAGCTGTGAGTATATCTATAAATTTTTTTTGCCACAGTCTGCATCTAAATCTGATACCTAGTTCTTCAAAAATCTTGTCCAACATCTAAGGTATGAAAGAGCTGAAATCATGCTTTTTTTCCCCCTAACTCAGTCAACATAGATTCACAGGCTAGATTGTCTTACACTAAGATTCTTGAATATAGGGCTTGAACAGAGAGATAATAGCCTCATTTTCTAGTTTAGGCTGTAAAAAAAAAAAGGATAACAGCAGGGGCACACTACATAGTCATGCAACCATTAAGGTGTTTAAAAGCTTTGATTTAAATTCAGGCTCCACATGTGATGTTTCTATGTTACTAACACCACAACCTTTCAGCTGAGTGCCCCAGCCAGTTAAGGTATTCTCAGGTGGCTATCTTACAGTCTCTAATCTCAAGAGTGTTTCCTATCTAACTAGTTTAATCATCACTGAATATGGCACAGGAATATGAACAACTGTGCGAATGATGATGTTTCTACTGGAAAAAAACCCCACACCCACGGTTATGTTGGGCAAGAGTGGCGGGATCAGTCCTTAGCAAACCCATCACCAGGAGAAACAGATTTTTTCCTTTTTTTTTTTAATGAACTTTTTGGCTAACATTACACAGAACTGAAATAAATTTACTTTTTCTTACGAGGAATAAAAGCTTTTGTTGCAGAAAAGAGCCAACTTGCTGCAAATGAATGAGTGATTTGTCCATTCCTCCAACAGGATCCTGCTCTTATGACAGTGAAAGATCTTCAGCACCATCTTCTTTATCATTGCTTGTAATGGGGATAGGGCAGTTTGAGGCAGATATTAAAAGTGCTGGGTCCTCCATGGGTGAAAGAAATACCACTGGGAAAAGACAGTAATTCAGAACAAACTCCTCAATTTCTTACAAGCTGCCTTAATACGGTAATGGAACATAATTTTCCATGAGTGCAAGAATACAATTATAAATAAATTGATTACATCTTGATGTGCTTATATATTATAGGATCCTCTTTTTTTAACAGGTCAAAGTATGTAAAAAGGTGAAATTAAAATAACAACCCCATAGATGTGCCCTTGTCTGACAGGGTGTTGCTAGTCAGGAGATGGGATCAATTTCCACTTTTGTTCAGTATGTATTTATTGGAATTCTATATATACATGCATAAAAGCATATATACACACTGAAACTCTATGTTTTTAGGTTGGGCCTTGAAGAATTATTTTATGTCTAGGCACTCTTTGGAGTAGCATGAGTCACACACGAACACAGAAGGAAAGGGCAACTTGTGTGCCTTTAATCTCTATGCTCATACTGGTAAGGAAAGGTAAAAGGATTATTTGGAAAAGTATTTGTTGAAAAAGAGAGAGCAAGAGGAGACTGGTATAGATTAGCAGAGAGATTCCTGTGCAGTGCTGTCTGTGCCTTGAAGAGTTTGTATCTTAAGTAACTGAATAATTAAACCCCATCTCTGGCATTTAAGATCAGGAAGACAGGGATTGACATTGTCCTATGTGTTTTGAGTATCTGCAGGACATGACTTTGGGTCTTTAGAGTGCCTGTCTAGCAGCTGCACCCCAAAATGATGAAGAGGAGGACTTCCATGCTCTGACTACTAGAAGCAGAGACATAAGCTGACCCAGCTCTGTTAAATGCTGTAGGCAACTTCGGAAGGCTCCTGGTGGCTTACAGAATCATGCTCGCAGGCAGGTGGAAAGACAGTACAAGATTAAACATCAAAGACTAAATCGCCTTATTTTTCCTTAACAGAAAGATAATTCAATTGCTTTGGATTCTTAAGTTTTAAAGGCAGTTGTGAAGCTTTAGAAAGAGAATCTGAGATGATGACCTGCTGAAATTCTTTATTTTGAATGAAAGAGTATTCTCTTAAATTCATAGTCCTCACTTTATCATTCTCCTAGGTTTTCCATAAAAAATGCGCCATAATGATCTTAATTTTTAGTCTTTATTTTTTTGAGAGGTTTTTCATCCCACAGAGAAGCCACGGGGTTGTTTTTTTAAGATCACCATGAGAGAAATTATCGCTCAGACTGGCTGCATTAGAGGGCAGTCCCAAGGCACCAAGGAAAAGAGAGATGCTTTAACTGTTGCTGGTGGCTAAGGTTCAGCCTGCATCCATCTTTACAGGGAACAGATCATTAGGTTTGTGAGTCAGGGCAAGATCTGTGAGCGTGGATGTGTGCACGACCGAGAGCGAGGGACCAGAACGTGCACAGAATAGTTAATATCCTCCATATAACAGGCAGCTGCCAAGCATCCTCTTGCGTATTGTAGAAACTATATTAAAAGACACATTTTCCACCTAAGTCTCTGGTGTACTGACCTGTTCCCACTGTGATGTTGCAGCTATTCCTGACCAATAGAGTAGAAGTGAGAAGAAAACTAGTTTTCTGACTCAAAATGGATAGAGATTGGCAACATTGGAGGAATGTTTGATAAACAACCTGCTTCTAATAATGTTTTTAAAACCAAAACTGTTTTGTTGGGAGATATTAGAACTATTTTAGATAAGTTCTCCATGCTCCAGATAATTTTAATCTTTTTTTTTCTGTATGATGTTCCAATTTGAAGAATGCAAATTGTTTCTTTCAAAAATTAATTTAATAGTAATAATTTAACAACATTAACAAAGAGAAGTCAAGGTGAAATCAAATTTTGAACTAAATCCAAAAAATTATTTTGGAACAAGTAGGATTTCTTTTTATCTTAAATTTTGGCCTGTGTAGTAATTTGGGGAGATTATGATGTACGAAAAGAATATACAATGCAGGAAAACTGCTTTTTTCCAAAATGTATGAATGAGTTTCTGTATATTTCTTGTGTAGTTTTTTATTTTGGGGCTTTCATTTCCCCCTAAACCATGCTGATTATGATGCAAATGGTACACAACTGGGATGCATTTCTCAGTGTCTCTGTCTCTGTATTTAATCTTAGTGACCCTTTTACCTTACTTGCTAGTATCTTTCTTCATATTTAGTATGATCACATCAACCAGGAAACTGTTTGACAGTGTCAAACTCTGTTTTAATATGGGCTCCTTCTCATCACAGGCAGACAGAATGCACACGGTGCAGCTCCAGATTTCCCCAAATATTGCTCAATTGCTTTCAATGATGCCAGACTCTTTGTAAGCCAAATGTTGGCTTGACAGTGATGTTATAACAGGAGAATAAAAGTTATGGATCCCTATGGATCCATCTTATGGGATCACAGAATCAAACTGCAAGGAAATGTCAAACTAAGGTATTTGTACAGAAATTCCCTTTCTGGGATGTTGGGCTGTAACCTTGATTCCTTTGATTCTCCACACACAACTGAGCTCTGTTAGGCCCAGGTTTCATGAACTGTCTCTGTCTTATTAGGAACCATCCTTTGGCCTACTTCTCTGCAAGGCTGAGAGACAGAGACAGGGTAAAATCCATTCCAATTAATGTTGAGTGTCTGGTGTAGATGTTTGTGTTAGAGCTAATCACTGGGTAACTTTCATAATCAATGCAGAGAAGTGGGTTCGTCAAGTGCATGGTCCATCTTATCCCAAGATAAATACATAAAATAGATTAATTTAACCTTACAGATGCCTCTTTCTCCCCATTGACTGTAGGGAGAGGTTAGATGGCAAGATGTTCTAAAAGTAGATCAAGTGGTTGTTGCTGAAGAAGTCTTCCAGCACTGCAGTGAAGACAGGGGTTTTTCCCTTATCTTGCTTTGGCT